TTTTATTATTAATTTAAAAAAAAATCATCATCATCATTATTATTCTGTATTTTTTAATCAAAGGCATTTTGATATTAAAAATATGTTAGCAAAGTAAATCAAGCAACTGCACATAATGTAGGCCAGAAGGTTGGTTTCTAAAATATAATGCAAATATGCACACACACACACACATATATATATACTAGAAAAAAACAACAACCCAACATTCAGAGAGTCTACATAATATTATAGGCTCACATGCATACATTATCTATCTATCTATATATCTTTCCAAACATTTTCTTCATAGCCTATTACTTTGTTGACACAGCCCCGACCGCCGACTTTTTTATTTTGAACTCGCATGCACTTTTAATCTAACAGACTCGTAGAATCTAGTAGCTAAAAGTAATACAGTCGCCTCAGTCGGGTACAACACGCATTGTTCAGTCCTATTGACAGCCTCGTGGTATTTTTACACGAACACACATCGAATCTTTGAACGGTAGACCCGAGCGTCGATCCTCAACATTTTTGTGAACCAACAAAACTCAAAACGGAAATGTTGTGCTGGGCTGATAAGGAATTAACCGGCAATTTTGAGAACATTAATAATTTTAAAAATAGTTTTATAGGCCTAATATTAAATTAACCGTTTAGACGCGTTTTGTGTGACGTAGGTCACAGTCCCTGTGTTGGCTTGTGAGCTGAGGTAACGGTAGCACTTGATTGGCCAACATACGTAATTAGTTGAGATTGATTGACCAATCAAATCGTCCCAAGATGATCGACACGCCAATCGCCATACACAGCTGTGCTAGCAGTGAACCGACTTCAGCGCAGTGTGTCGCCATTGTGCTTGCTGTATTCTGTGTGTATGTCGTTGGCTTTGAAATCGAATTCCTCATCAATTTCTGATATTTGAAGATTGATTCATTCTTCTTATGACATAGTGTGATTCCTGAATCGTGCTTACTGGGATTTTGCTGCTCTGGTAAGCTTTGATTCTTTTATACTTTGGTTCGAGAACGCATTCTTTTTCAGTTTGAACACAGTAGTGTCGGGCTTGAAGCGAATTCATCTTCAGCGGTTCAGCTCAAGATGAGGGTATAATTTTAAAGATTTTTAGCATGATCCGAAACATATGTTGAGCAATCGCAGCTTTCTCTGCATACCAAATTATTACATGGCATAAAACGTTAATGTTTTGCTGAATGATAACATTTTCAAGGTAGTAACTCTTTGAAATATTAAATCTCGCTTGAGATTTTTAGTTTCAAAAAAGGTTTGTTGTGTGTGGCAGTGACCTATTTTTCGCGTAAGAGTAGTTGTTGTGTGCCTCTCCAACACAGACGGAGTCGAGGGCCACTGGCATTTATATGTTTGCGTATTACATTTTATGTCAAGCTCAAATGCATTTTCACTTCCTTACGTTTAGGGCTTTGTCTTTGTGTAACATCAGATCAGGTAGTTATGTCTTTGTTTTTTTATTTTTTAATTCAATTTTTTTAAAAAGAATGACAGCCGGGGTCGTGGGAGTCAAGTGGAAAGCTGTCTGTCCCGTCCCGTTCTATCGATAACGCGAACACCAGGGCTTTGTACTTGTGGAAAGTTGCTGCAATGCCATTTAGCCAAAATTTTCCATTTCATAAGTAGACATAGAATCTAGATCTAGACTATATTTCTAGATCTTTTCAGTTTCTTTTGCCTTGGGTTTGTTTTTGGTTGCTTTTTAATGGCAATGGGGGGGGGGCTTGATTGGTTTTTCAGTTTCCCCCACGCAGATCGAGGGTAATTTTAAATTTATAAGGTCTAGTTCTAGATCTAGATCTAGATTCTAGATCTAGAATCTAGTCTAGATCTAGATAGGGCCTATAGATTTAGGGTAAATTTTTACTTTCACTCCCGCACACAGATGCACTGTTCGGGGGTCAAACTGCAGTACAGTTTGCTGTAGATCACACATAAAGCCACTTAAACTGTCGCAAATCAATTATTCACTGGAAATTTCAAATCTATTTGTAAAATATCAAATAATGGGTTAAAACAGGGGGACATGTAACCCCCTAGATTTACTTTTACCTCAGAGGGTCAGACCCCCCTGGAACCCCCCAATTGGTCCAAAGCACGTCTATCTCGATTAAGAAACAGTCAGATATTTCGAAAATTATTAATTTGCGACAGAAAATTTGTGTTCAGCGCATCAATATTTAGTTGAAAATGGACAACTGACAGCTAGATATCTAGATCTAAGTGTGAGACGGGAGGGAAAGTAAATCAATTATTTTGAAGAAAATTTCGAACCTAACTAAAATATCAAATTATGGGTTAAAACAGGTCCCGATGGGTCCAAAGCACGCAAATTACTGCACTGTAGCGGCGTAGGCATAGTGTGATATAATATAGATCTAGCTCGATTAAGAACAATCAAGTAGATCTATTCAAAAACTATTAATTTGCAACGGAGTTGAATTTGATATGAATTGTGTTCAGGGCATCAATATTTAGTAGGAAAGTGGCTATTCTCACCCGCCCGGAAGTTCTCGCAAGATCAACTCCTCCCCTCTTCTCTCTCTCTCTGTCTCTTTCTGAATACTGTCTATCGGTGTGGACGATCAAATTGGAAAGTGGCTATTCTCACCCGCCCGGAAGTTCTCGCAAGATCAACTCCTCCCCTCTTCTCTCTCTCTCTGTCTCTTTCTGAATACTGTCTATCGGTGTGGACGATCAAATTGACCAAAACAAAGTTAAAAAATGATGTTAAAACACAAAAGTAAATCAATTTGGTTGTCTACAAAGATGCTACGGCTATTTAACTTTTCGAATCGAGCCGAACCAAGCCGACCTACGTGGGTCGCCATTTTGTTTTGCCCGGAAATTCTCGCGCTACTCCTCTCTCTCTTTCTCTCTCTCTCTCTCCACTGCCCACAGACAAAATTGTAGGCATTTAGTAGGCTACAGTTGTAATGGAACGTCTGTTCACGGCACAGAATTCTACAATTTTTCTGTGATCACAGTGTAGCATTCTGTGGTTTAGGGTGAACGCAAAATTTGGTGAACGCGCACCGGGTGAGAATAGCCACAAGACTCGCCTGCACTATTCTCACTCCGGGTGAGAATAGAGGTGGCCATCAAATTGACCAAAACAAAGTTAAAAAATGATGTTAAAACACAAAAGTAAATTAATTGGGTTGTTTACAAAGTAAAGATGCTACGGCTATTTAACTTTTCGAATCGAGCCGAACTACGCGGGTCGCCATTTTGTTTTGCCCGGAAATTCTCGCGCTACTCCTCTCTCTCTTTCTCTCTCTCTCTCCACTGCCCACAGACAAAATTGTACGCTTTTAGTAGGTTACAGTTGTAATGGAACGTTTGTTCACGGCACAGAATTCTACAATTTTTCTGTTATCACAGTGTAGAATTCTGTGCTTTAGGGTGAACGCAAAATTTGGTGAACGCGCACCGGGTGAGAATAGCCACAAGACTCGCCTGCACTATTCTCACTCCGGGTGAGAATAGAGGTGGCCATCAAATTGACCAAAACAAAGTTAAAAAATGATGTTAAAACACAAAAGTAAATTAATTGGGTTGTTTACAAAGTAAAGATGCTACGGCTATTTAACTTTTCGAATCGAGCCGAACTACGCGGGTCGCCATTTTGTTTTGCCCGGAAATTCTCGCGCTACTCCTCTCTCTCTTTCTCTCTCTCTCTCCACTGCCCACAGACAAAATTGTACGCTTTTAGTAGGTTACAGTTGTAATGGAACGTTTGTTCACGGCACAGAATTCTACAATTTTTCTGTTATCACAGTGTAGAATTCTGTGGTTTAGGGTGAACGCAAAATTTGGTGAACGCGCACCGGGTGAGAATAGCCACAAGACTCGCCTGCACTATTCTCACTCCGAGTGAGAATAGAGGTGGCCATTTAGTAGATGGGGGGCTGACTTTTCACTAGAATTTTTTTTTCGCTAAATTGAGGGGTTAGCCCCCTCCCCCGGTTTTTGTCTATAATTTGATTCTTTGCAATTAAGTGTGAAATTTTCATGAAAATAATTGATTTGTGACAGTTTTAGTGGCCATGTGATGTGTGATCTGCGGCAAAAATTACTGCAGTTGACCATCAAAGCGGTGCATTTGTGTGCGTAAATAAAATTAAAAGCAAAAATTTACTGTGAACTCTTTGAACATGACCTTTGATTGTTGTAGCCTACAGTTTTCGAAATTGGAGATAATTTTACTGTCATTCCCTCCTTTAATGAGCCTATGCTCAGTTAATGTAGCCTGTATAGAGCCCTTTTCTTTTTCAATTTTTATCCCTTTTACACGGATATATTGACTTAACATCCAGTGTGTTTGAAAATTAAAAAAAATATTTGATCGTTTCCATTGGAATTATATTATTGTTTGGCCTACTCTAAGCATCTTTAATTTGTATTATAATTTCCACGATTTGGACCAATTTGGGGGGGGTTTCAGGGGGACATGCCCCCCTCAGGTACAAAATTCTGAGCCGGCCTGTTTTCACCCATAATTTGATTTTTTGCAATTGTGTTGGAAATTTCCTTGAAAAAAACATATTTTCGACAGTTTTACTGCCCATGTGTGTTGATCTGAACCAAAAAATATGCTCTTTTGACCTCTAAAATTGTGCATCCGTGTGCGGGAGTGAAAGTAAAGATTTCCCTAAAATTCTATAGTTTTGTGGTGAAGTAACTGCATTATTATTTTTAGGAAGAGGCTAGCGGTACTTAATGACGGCTAGACAGCTGGGCTAGCTGTACTTCTTAATATGATGGCTAGAATGACCATAAAAAAAGGCCTACTGAATTGTAATAAGTTTTTAGTTTGCAGTAAAACTAAAGTATTTGTATTTGAGACGAAACCAGGTGCCTTAATGACAGTGCATGTATTTTAAACCTCCTGTTTTCTAATGTTAATAGGGCCTAAGATAAGTACGGCTAGACTGGGAGGCTAACTGTACTTTTAAAGTACACTGCTAGTGCTAGTCTGTCAGGCGTCAGGCAAGCCGTACTTAATATTGATGGCTGAATTGTAAATGAAATTTTTTGTTTGCAGAAAGTATTTGTATTTCAGACAAAATCAAGAAGGTGCCTTACTCACTTGCATTATTTAAACCTGAATAACTTCTAGATCTAGATCTAATGAGACCTGTGTACTCAACTAGTTCGAGTCGATAGGGCAAAACCTAGATCTAAGTATGGCTAGCCACTTCGTTATTTTTATGTTAAAAAAAAACAAAAAAACTAGGCCTGTTATTTTACTTTCACTCCTGTCTTTTACTTGGTAGTGTAGCACTTCTCTTGACTTATTTTATTCATTTTTACCGTCTACCTTGAATTTACTTTTTATCCATCGCAAATAAGTATAAATCGTTTGATGTTTTTATGTGAACTGTTATTATAGTAAACCTCAGTAGGCTAACGTTCGCAACTTTAAAAACACACTCTTGGCAATAGGCCTAATTTCACTTTCCCTCTATTCCTTTTTTGTATTTTTACTCTGTAAAAGCGGTAAATTTTTACTTTAAGATTCGCCCGCGGGTGCACTGTTTTGAGGGCTAAACTGCCGTAATGTTTGCTACGGAACACACATTGGCCACTAAAACCTTGCAAATCAATTGTTTTCAAGTCAACATCAATCCTAATTGCCAAAACATCAAATCATGGTCTAATGCACGGAGGGG